AACCGGCACTAATGTACACATTAGTGCCGGCTGAAATTCAAACTGGCACTATTGTGCTTCACATTTGACCCTTTTTCTACTAGTGCTAGTAGAACGAAGAAGTGGGAAAAATTCCCCAGCTCGGCGAACAAGCGGACCAATCGTGCCCCCCGCTCAAGGTGTCTAGCGACATCGTTGCTAATCATCCGGGGATGGTGCCCGGTACCAATCCTAGAGATTACCTGCCCGATGATGCACATTTTGATACAATGGAGGTGGACGAATTCAAATACCGGCACGGGAAGCCTCTCGTCAAACCTGGTCATCCTCCTCTAACAACGATGATGCGAAGATTCCATGATTGGTACATGGACATCTGCAGCAAGTCTGGGAAGGATACTTTGACGCTGAGAGTTAAATAGGAGCACGACCTCATTGGAATTGATCGGTTGTCTATTCCATATGAGGAGTTCTTCCAGTTTTTCAATCAAAAGGCCCTCGATAAAATAATCGTCACTTGCTCATGTCTGTAAGTACTACTTCTATAATTAGGTCTCTATATATAGCTCAGCTCTTTCATTGCATGTATATATAATTATCCTCACTATATTATGCAGATTGAAGATCGCCGAATGCAAGAAAAGACAAATCGGTGATATTGGGTTCGCTAACACAAATCTCATAGATTTATGGAATGTTAAACATGATGCCAAACAAACTGAGGCCAACTTGCTACGATCGTTACTTCAAATCAAAACAAAGATATAATATTCTTTCCTTACAACTTCAAGTGAGTGTTACTGTCTTGTGCATATTCGGTTTCTCTTATTACTCGAGGTTATAGTAACGTAACTGATGAGTTATGCATGCGTGCGCAACTTCCACTTTATTCTACTAGAGATTAAGCTTGAGCAGGGACTAGTAACCGTCACAGACTCGAGACAAAAAGATACCGAGGAGTATGCGGCCATGACTAAAATGCTTGAGAAGTAAGTTCAATTGATCATTATCGCACCATATCCGCAACTTTGTTCATTTCCTGATACCAAGTAATTGTTTTCTTTGTCTGGCCGGGTTTGGAAAGATTTCACAGCAGAACCTCCGGGATTGCCGGGGGAGCTGCGATTTAAACACCCGAAAGTAAGTACTACTAGCTAGTTCCGCGCATCTCCCTTTGATTCTAGCTAGTTTCATCAATACCATTTAGCATGCTTTCTTATCAGTTTGATTGACCTCTATTTCTTGTAAAGTGGTTGTGGCAGGAACCCGGGTATAATTATTGTGGATACTACATTTGTGAGTTCATCCGCCACACGACCTATGAGCGGGGCTACTCTAAAAAACAATATGAAGTGTGTATGCAACAATATTCACAATTTTAATTTATTACCATCATTTTTGTTGAGTTTCATTCATATATATGTATTGACGCCCTACTTCAAATTAGATGTTTCAGATGCGGGATGAACTCCTACCACAAGATCGCATACGAGCAATTCAAGAGGAATTGGCGGGATTCTTTCTTGACCACGTCATCGATAAAGACGGAGAATACCATGTGGAACTTGAGTTCAGATGTTAGGGGATTGTAAGAGATCTTATATTGTATATATGTAGCCAGTAGCGTCAGATAGATATACGAAAACTTGTTGTTCGACCAATCTCTCAGAAAAGGAGAGGTCGATCACTTCTCTCTGTATATGTTCATGACGATCTTCTATACTTAATGGTTTCCTTCATTTGCTTACTAGCTAGCTAGCGTGTCGAGTCCTCTCTATACATATAGTACGTAGCGTTGACCAAGCACGGAGATAAGAGAGGACACTTC